GTGCCGCAGGTCTCCCGTAGGGTTCATGGAAGAGCATGCGCGCAGGTGAAAGGTGGAGCCTGAATCTCCGGCGCCCAAAGATTTCTGTCGGGGTTTGAACAGGGCCTTTCGCCTTGCTGACTTTCTTCTCCTTGTGAGCTATCATCGATACTCTCAAAAACTTCCCATTTTACCAAACTAAATAACACACCCTTTCAAGCCGGGAGTGGTGGCTCATGCTTGTAATCCGAACACTTACTATAGGCTAAGATAGTCAGAACAGCCAGAGAAACCCTATCTCGAAGAAGAAAAAAAAAAAAAAAACAGAAAGAAAGAAAGAGGCTGAGACAGGAGGATTACAGTGAATTCAAGGCGTATCCTGCAGCCTAGCCTGATTACCTTAGATTATCTCCTAACAACTGTTCTGTTCCTTGGTGTGCACACATACAAAAAGAAAGATACTATAATTAAACCAAGCGGTGGTGGCGCACGCCTTTAATCCCAGCACTTGGGAGGCAGGCGGATCTCTGTGAGTTCGAGGCCAGACTGGTCTACTTCCAGCTAGTTCCAGGACAGGAACCAAAAAAAAAAAAAAGCTATGAAGAAACCCTGTCGCGAAAATCAAAAAAAAAGAAAGAAAGAAAGATATTATAATTAATAAAAAGGATACGGATTTTGCTCCATTGCACTACATAAACTCAGGGTGATGAACTAATGACATGGAGACAGCAGGGTCAGAAGTTCAAAGACATCCTTGAATACATAAATTCAAGGTGTTAGAAAAGACTATCTTTGTATCCACAAAAAGAAACAGAAAGGGAAAATAACTCTACAAAGTAATTTCTTCCTAGCCGGGCGGTGGTGGCACACACCTTTAATGCCAGCACTCTGGAGACAGAGGCAGGCGGATCTCTGTGAGTTTGAGGCCAGCCTGGGATACAAGAGCTAGTTCCGGGACACTCTCTAAAAGCTACAGAAGAAACCCTGTCTCGAAAAACCAAAAAAGCCAGGCGGTGGTGGCGCACGCCTTTAATCCCAGCACTCGGGAGGCAGAGGCAGGCAGATCTCTGTGAGTTCGAGACCAGCCTGGTCTAGAAGAGCTAGTTCCAGGACAGGCTCCAAAACCACAGAGAAACCCTGTCTCGAAAAACCAAAAAAAAAAAAAAAAAAAGAAAAACCAAAAAAAAAAAAAAAAAGTAATTTCTTGTAAAAAAAAAAAAAGTGTGCCACACCCCTAACCCTTGCTAGCAGCAGCCACACGGTCTAGATGCCCTGGGATTATTGTCCCTAAAGCAAGGACCAAATTGTGAACAAAACCCTTAATCTTAAACTATTTTGTAAATTTAGTAAAAGCATGTAAGGGCTGGAGAGATGGCTCAGAGGTTTCAAGTGTATAATGTTCTTGTGGAGGACTTGAGTCTCCCTTTGGAGCCCTAGCTTGGAACTCAAGATATAGGCCACGCTGACCTCAAACTCAGAAAGTCACCTGCCTCTGCCTCCCAAGTGTTAGGATCAAAGACACACTCTACCATACCCAGCCACCTTTGGCCTCTATATGCACAAGGGCATGCAAGCACGCATGTGTGCACATGCGCGCACACACACAAACCCACACACGAACAGAAACACAGAAGACAGGACAGAAAGAGTAAGAAGCCCAAAGCCTAACACACTAGCTACAGAAAGCTTGCATTAGTCGAAATCATTTTCACTTAACTGATGGAACTCTACAACCCCACATGCTCCAAGGTGTGGAAGTTCTTTTTTTCTCAGTGAATTCAATACTGTAGTCACCTTCCTGTCCTTATGATAATACACCTAAGAAGTATATTTTTAAATCTTTTTTGATTTGTTTTGGTTTGGTTTTTCAAGACAGGGTTTCTCGGTAGCGTTGGCACCTATCCTGGAACTAGCTCTTGTAGACCAGGCTGGCCTCGAACTCACGGAGATCCATCTGTCTCTGCCTCCCGAGTGCTGGGATTAAAGGCTTGCACCACCACCGCCCAGTTTATTTTTAATTTTTCTTTTAATATTAATCAGGGCCTAGTAAGTAGCAAGAACTGCCTTTCGTGTTATTAAAGACACTTTTCCCCCCTTTCCTACGTGTGCCTTTTAGTTACATTTGAATTATGCCCAAAGGAACAGTCAACTGATTGACACCAAGACTCATCTGTTTTGTTTTGTTTGAGACAGGGTCTTTGTTTTTTTGAATTTTTTTTTTTTTTTGCGAGACAGAGTTTCTCGGTAGTTTTTTGGTTCCTCTCCTGGAACTAGCTCTTGTAGACCAGGCTGGCCTCAAACTCACAGAGATTTGCCTGCCTCTGCCTCCCGAGTGCTGGGATTAAAGGCGTGCGCCGCCACTGCCCTGGAGCTCCTGATCCTTTTACACCTACCTCCCAAGTACTGAGAATACAAACTACAAATGACTATTTCAAAGCTGGGCTGTAGCTCAGCTGGCAGAACATTTACCTAGCACGAAAGAGACCCTGGGTTCAATCTCTAGTACTACATAAAACCAGCAGCGGTCGCACAAACCTGTAATCTCAGCAGTCTCGAGGTGGAGGAGGAAGGATTAGAAGTTAGCGGCCTGCTTAGACCATGTCTCTGAAAAGGGGAAACACTTATTTCATATTCTTTTCTATCACATCCCTTTCTGGCAATGATCTTGTTATTGTAACAGCACAAGATTATAAATGTTTGGCCAAGTAAATTCTTTTATAACCCCAACACTCAGGAAGCAGTCAGATTGGTATTAATTCCAGGACAGCCTGGGTACATAGTGGGACCTTGTCTCAAACAAACCAACAAGTAACATACAGATATTTGGGCCAGCAACATGGCTCAACAGATAAGGGTGCTTGCCTTGAACCTGACAACCCAAGCAAGACCCAAATGATAGAAAGAGAACCCATTTCCACTAGTTGTTCTCTGACCGAGACACACATTTTATTATGTAAAAAGACACAATATTTGATTTCTGAATACAAAGTATTCTTTGGATAGACAGTTCAGTAGGTATGCAGGATATGTAAATAAACCTTGTTGACACTTGTCTTAAAAAGGGCTAGATTTACTGCTCACACAAACCCTCCTCACATCCCTTGCATTCTTTCCTGTTCCTGCCAAACTTCCCAGCAGGCCACTGGACCCCCTTTCTTCTCCACACTCCAGGAAGTGAATTTCTCCATGTTTTGCAGCATCATTCTAAGCACAGACAAGCACTCTCCAGGTCTGCTCCATGGCTGCTCCTTCACATGGCATCCTCTCGCTCTTCTCTGTACAGCTCCATGCTGACCCAAGACACTCTCTTCTGTTGCAGCCATGCCTGCTTTGGGACCATTACCTGCTGCACATTTTGTTAGCAGGTTCTTTCCTGGCTCCACAAAACCTGGGACTCTGTGAGTTCAAGGCTCATCACTCCTCCACAGATCATCCTAACGACCTGAACTCATCAGTGATGGAAAACACCTGGCTTCATTTTCTCCCATTGCGTAGCTGTTTCCTTGAAGCTGGCATTGAGCACCACCATCTAGAATCATAGTGGCCTGTTATCACTTGTAGGACTCCATGAGATCTGGCCTGTTAATAGACACTTATGAAAGAAACAGGGAGGAGGCCCACAGGACTCCTGAGCTCTCAAGAATTTTTTTTTTCCTTCGCTCCCCACCTACCCCCAGAAAGGGTCTCATTATGTAGGCTTGGCTGTCCTGGAACTTGCTATGTATAACATCAGGCTGACTTCAAACTCGGGGATCTGCCAGTCTCTTTCTCCCGAGTGCTGGGACATAAGACATGAGGACACCAGGTGTGGTAGTTTGTATGTAACTGGTCCCCATAATCTCATAGGGAGTGGCACTATTTGGTATGGCTTTGTTGGAGTGGGTATGGCCTTGCTGAAGAAGTGCGTCACTGTGGGGGCAGCCTTTAAGGTCTTTTGCTTAAGCTTTGTCTGGGGTCAGTCAGGTGACTTTGGGGTCAGTCAGGTGACTTTGTCAGGGGTCAGTCAGGTGACTTTGTCTGGGGTCAGTCAGGTGACGTTGTCTGGGATCAGTCAGGTGACTTGTTGCCTGGAAAATGTAGCACTCGCAGCTCCAGCACCACGTCTGCCTGCACAATGCCATGTTCTCCCCAAATATGACAATGACCTGAACTTCTGAAGTTGTAAGCGAGGCACCTGAATTAAATGCTTCGTTTATAAGGAATACCGAGCTAGGCAGTGGTGGCACACACCTTTAATCCCTGCACTTGGGGGTGGAGGAGTGGTGTAAAGACAGGTGGGACTCTGTGAGTTCAAGGCCAGTACCAGGACAGGCTTCAAAGCTACACAGAGAAACCCTGTCTAGAAAAACCAAACCAAAGAAACAAAGAGTTGCTATGGTAACCAGGAGGTGGTGGTGTTCACCTTTAGTCCCAGCACTTGGGTGGCACAGGCAGGCAGATCTCTGTAAGTTTGAGGCCAGCCTGGTCTACAGATTGAGTTTTAGGACAGTCAGGACTGTTTCACAGAAAAACCTTGTCTTGGGGGAAAAAAAAAGAGTTGCCATGGTCATAGTGCCTCTTCACAGCAATAAAAACCCCAAGACAATAGGTATACATCCAATGTCCTTTGCTAGTCTCCTTACATAGACATACACACTCACACATGTACACAACACACAAATAGAAACAAAAGGAACTTCAGTGATAGAATTACTCATAGGTACAGTCCTTGTTTAGCATATACAAGGCTTTTTGGTCCAATCTCTAAAGTTGCAAAAATAAATAAGTAAATAAAATAAATATAATTTAGAGTCCAGCAAGATGGCCCAGTGAATAACAGCTGTGGCCACCAAGCTTGATGGCTTGATTTCAATCCTGAAAGTCCACATAGTGGACAGAACTGATTCCTGCAAGTTCTTCTCCACATACGTGCCATGGATCATGTACCCCCTCCCCAGAAATAAAGAAATGAAATTCTTTAAAAAAAAAAATCGGATTTATCTCTCCCATTTGCAACTAGATAAGAACATTCTTCCCCTATACAAGATTTTGTAAAACAGTTTAATTTAAAAAACTACAAACTATATTTACATCAAAAATTGAAATGACAAGAACAAAGAACAACATGGGCTCCAAAACCAAGGTAAGAGATGGTCAACACATCATTCTACCTCACAGGTTCCAGACTGCAGCCCTTGCAAGGTTGCACCAAGAAAACACAGTAACTATGGTCCAATAGTCACTGTGGAAACAGCAACCAAAACCATCACCAAGCCAGCCTTTTCTCTCCAAAAAGCCAAGCTGTTGAGTGTTGGCTCACGCCTGTAATCCCAGCACTTGGCTGAGTGAGGCAGGAGGCGTATCATGAGTCTGAGGACCACAGAGGGACATTATATCTCAATAAAGCAAAGTGACCCAAGTGTCTTCTCCTTCAGCACTCCTGTGTGAGGCTGACCAGGCTGGGATGTGGTGGCGTTCTGAGCAATCTCAGGAGCAGGGTGTGAACATCAGTATTGGAAGCTGCGCTTGGTCTGGATATCATCGAGAATCTGCTGCAGTTCCTCATCTTCAAAACGCCCTTCCAGACTGCAAGAAGACCAACAAACTTAAGCGATTCAGCAACTGCCAGTTTTCCCACACTGTTTTTCAAAGAGGGTTCATTTCTGAATGCAGCTCATTTAGATCTACCACCTTTATTTCTTTAAATTTATTTATTTATTATGTATACAATATTCTGTCTGTGTGTATGTCTGCAGGCCAGAAGAGGGCACCAGAGCTCATTCCAGATGGTTGTGAGCCACCATGTGGTTGCCAGGAATTGAACTCAGAACCTTTGGAAGAGCAGGCAATGCTCTTAACCACTGAGCTATCTCTCCAGCCCCCTACCACCTTTATTTTTAAGCTAAATTTCTTTTCCACATTCTCTTATAAAAACACTGAAAAGTGCAAATATATAAAAGATTTTGTTTGTTTATAAAAGATTTTTAAAAGCCTTAACAGTCAAACATGATTTAAATTTCTGTTTTATTTTAGTTTGGCTTGGTTTTTTTGAGACAGGGTCTCATTATACAATCCCAGCTAGCCTGAAACTCAACAGAGATGGGCCTGCCTTTGCTGGGATTAAAAGCACCAACTAACAAGCCCTGCAATGACCCATTTTTCAGTCATTCACTTGTTGACTGACTTAATGATTGTGTCCAATATCTGATATCACCAATACTACAGTGAATATTGGAATACTTTTTTAGGTAATGGGAAATAGTGCATTGATTTTACCAGACATAGTAAAATTGTTCTATTACTACTTGTGGTGTATCAGAATTCTGTTTCTTATGCTCTTTTATGAGGTGCAGGGAGATCAACTCAGACCCTCACACACACTAGGCAAGAGCTCTGCCATTGTTCCATATACTTCCTGTCAGTATGGTATAAAACCATCATTCTCAGGTTGGCAAGATGGTCCAGCTGGTGAAGTTTGCTTGCCATTAAATCTAACAACCTGAGTTTGATCCTGAGAATCTACACGGTAAAGGAAGAGAACTGATGACCCCAACCTGTCCACTGACCTCCACCCGGTTAATATGACAAATACGCGTGCATGTGCATGCACATACGTAAACAATAAATGTTCAAAACAAAACAAAACCCTTCAAACTACTGCTCACAGCTCCCATCTGGAATCCCAGCTCTTGACAACTGGAAGCAGGACAATCAAGAGCTCAAGGAAAGTCTTGGCTACCTGAGACTGCCAACAACAAACAACAAAACCACCCCCCAAAATCATCTCTCAAATACCATAAAATTACATTCTTGTTCATTTCATCAACTCAAATATTAAATGTACAACATTTAGATCTAGCAATTTCGGTTAAAGAAATCTATACAACACAGAGAAAACTTGTCCCATCTAGTACTAACCTTGGAATCAGAGCTTTGGACTCCTCAGCAGTCTCTGGGCAAAGATTAGCTAAACAGGCCAACTCAAACTTATGTAGCTTTTTCTGGAGAAGCAAGCTGTTTATAGAAAAAATAAAAATACAAAAAGATAAACAAGTGAGGGAGTGAAACAAGAATAGCAATGGGGAGAAGTGAGTATGATTAAAATATGTTCTATACCGTATAAAAATGTCAATGTCATATTGGAACCCTTTCTTATGCATAATTAATATACACTAATAAAAGGCAAAAAAATCAAACATCAAACAATGATCAAAGGCAAAAAGAAGACCAGTTGAAAAAAATATTTACAATCTTTGATTATGGTCATGTGAGCAATAGAATCCCCTTTGAATCACTTCCTATCCCTACCCCTGCAAAACAAGTTCCAGAAAAGAGAAAACAAACAAAACACAGCAGGCAGAGCCAAGGAAACTGACAAGAACATAGCAGGGTTAAGAGCATTGATGGCTGCTCTTTCAGAGGGCCCAGGTTCAATTCCCAGTACCCACATGGTGGCTCACAACTGTTTGAAATTCCAGATATAGGCACTCATATGGTACAGAGGCAAAACACTCACACATAAAATAAAAATAAATTTAATAAATATTTTAAAAAATGCCAATCACACCTCATGAAAAGCTCAAAGGCCAAAGAAGCCTTCCTCTGGAAACTGACACTCTAGCTCTTTGGCCTACCTGCTAGACTTGATAAGATAATGTCAAAAAACACAGGGGTTTGACTGGCTAGTCTATTAAGAATGCTGACATGAAAGTAACTTTCCTTTAACTTTATCTTCATTTTGTTTGTTTATTTATTTATTTATTTATTTTTCAGGGCAGGGTTTCTCTGTAGCTTTTGGAGCCTGTCCTGGAACTAGCTCTTGTAGACCAGGCTGGCCTCGAACTCACAGAGATTCGCCTGCCTCAGCCTCTTCCATGCTGGGGATTAAAGGTGTGTGCCACCACAGCCTGGTCTCCTTTAACTTTAAAACAAAGACACCAAATTCTGCTCTGTGCAAATCTAGGTGGAAACTATATCTCCAGGATTATAAAATAAGGCTTACTAAAATGAATCTGATTTCAAAATGACATATTAAGAAGTTATGTTTGGCCAGGTGGTGATGGTAACACACCTTTAATCCCAGCACTTAGAAGGCAGAGGCAGACAGATCTTTTTTTTTTTTTTTTTGAGACAGGGTATCTCTGTATAGGCCTAGCTGTCCTGGAACTCACTCCATAGACCAGGCTGGCCTCAAACTCACAGAGATCCATCTGTCTCTGCCTCCTGAGTACTGGGATTGAAGGCATGTGCCACCACTACCCAGCAAGGCTGACCTTTATAATGAGATTCTGTCTCAAGAAATAAATAAGTAGGTTCTGGAGAGGTAGTGTAGTGGTACTGGCCACTCTTGCAGAAGAGGACCCAGGTTTGGTTCCCAGCAACTATCTGTAACTCCAGTTCCAGGAGATTTGACCCTCTTTGGGACTCAACAGGCTTCTGCACCCACTTAATGTACATATATGCATTTAGACAAACACTCATACACATAAAATAAGCAACCAAATAAAATTCTATCTGGGATATAATGGTATAGTGTGCGGTTAGCATGTACAAAGTACACCATAACCAGATAGGTTAAAGTCTGAGTGGTTAAATGGATGGATAGATGAGATAGCCAGGATATAGACAGATGAAAGAAAGAAAGAAAGAAAGAAAGAAAGAAAGAAAGAAGAAAAGCGGGATTAGAGAGAAGCCTCAGCAGTTAAGAGAACTGACTATCTTCCAAAGGACCTATATTCAATTCCCAGCACCCAGATGGTGACACACAACCATTCATAACTCCAGTTGCCTCTACAAACACCAAGCATAAATGTGATACACAAATTACACATGCAGGCAAAACACTCATATACTTAAAATTGTAAAATATAAACAAAAAATAAAAATAATCTTTAACATAAGTTTGTCCATACATATCAGCAAAGACTTTTTTTTTTTTTTTTTTTTTTTTTGATTTTCGAGACAGGGTTTCTCCGTAGCTTTTGGTTCCTGTCCTGGAACTAGCTCTTGTAGACCAGGCTGGCCTCAAACTCACAGAGATCCGCCTGCTTCTGCCTCGAGTGCTGGGATTAAAGGCGTGCACCACCACCGCCCGGCTCTGCAAAGATTTTGATGGGACTTGAAGCCTCCAATTAGCCCCCCCCCCTTTTTTTTTAAACAGGTTCTGCCTATGTAGTCCTGGAACTTGCTATGTAGACTAGTAGCCTGGACTCAAACACTCAAGCTCACAAAGATTCTCCTGTCTCTGTCTCCCAATTCTGGAATTAAAGGCATGTGCCACCACACCAGGCTCTGGTTTTCTTCAATGTGTTTGTATATGGTTTATTTACTTAACTGTGTGTGTATGTGTGAGAGAGAGAGAAAACATGCATAATCAGAGGACTTTTGGGAATTCTTTCTCAGAGCTTCTGGTACATCTGGCTTTTTACAGCTAAAGTCATAAGGCTTACACAGAAAGCACTTCTTTTTGTTTGTTTTAGTTTTTCCAGACAGGGATTCTTCTCTGTGTAGCCCTGGCTGTCTTGAAACTCTTAGACAAGGCTGGGCATAAACTCAAAGATCTGCTTACCTCTGTCTTCTGAGGGTTAAAGGCTGCCCTACCACCATCGGACTAGAAGACACTTTTTACCCACCGAGCCATTTCACTAGCCCCATTTTTGTTCGTGTTTTGAAGAAAGGGTCTCAAGGAGTCAAGGATGGTTTTGAATCCACTACTGAGCTAATGATGACCTTGAACTCCCTGATCCTATTGCCTCTACCTTTCATGAGAATCTATATTAATAAAACTTTTAGGTAGGGCTGGAGAGATGGCTCAGCAGTTAAGAGCCCTGGGTGCTCTTCCAGAGGTCCTGGGTTCTGAGTTCCAGGACCCACACGGAGACTCACAACTGCAATTCCAGTCCTGGGGATCTGATACCCTGTATGGCTTCTGTGGGCATTGCATGGCGCACAGACATACAATCTGGCAAGCCAGGTGTGGTGTGGTAGCGCACGCCTTTGATCCCAACACAGAGGCAAAAGGATCTGTGAGTATAAAGCCAGCCTGTTCTATAAGCGAGTTCCTGAACAGCCAGGGCTATTATACAGAGAAACCTTGTCTCAAAGAAAAAAGAAAGAGAGAGAGCCACCTCATAACACATATGCAAGTAAATTTTGTCTTTTAACTTATTTTTGGTACTCACCTACGAACACTGGCAATGGTCTCTCTATTTTTGAAACGACTGAAACGGGCTGTATAGTTCAGGGTTTTCATGAAAACCTCGGAAAGCTCCTGCTCATCTTCTGCGCTCTCATTCTGCTGCTTTCGATGCTCCAGAAGCATGTGAACTTCAGAGTTCAGGAGTGTCTCCGCTGTTTCAAACTCTGCAAGAGCAAGTGTGAACTCAAATAACTCGTTCAAAAAGCACACCTTTAGTCCCAGCACTTGGGAGACGGAGGCAGGTGGATCTCTGAGTTTGGGGCCAGCTGGGTCTACACTAGCGAGCTGCAGGACAGCCAGAAATACAAAGACTCAAAACCAAATGAACAAACAAACAAACACCAAACCAAACCAAAGAGAGCTGGAGAGATGATTAGGAGGTGGTGGCGCACGCCTTTAATCCCAGTTCTCGGGAGGCAGAGGCAGGCGGGTCTCTGTGAATTCGACGTCACCCTGGTCTACTAGAGCTAGTTCCAGGACAGGCTTCAAAGCTACAGAGAAATCTTGTCTCAAAAAAACAAAACAAAACAAAACAAAAAAAAAGAGTAGGGTAGATGGATGTCCACGATTCCAAAAACCCGAGCGTGGAATCTACTAAATAGAACCTTTCTCCAAGGAATTAACTAAATAAACTATGCCAAGGTTCATCTGTGCCACGCTGACCTGTGCGTATCCCTTCGCAATCGTAAGCCGTGCCAGGACTAACCAGGGAGCGAATAACGACTATAACAAGGACCATGTCACCTCGGAGTCGAGCTGTCCCGGGTCCCACCTTTCGGAAAGATGAGTTGAGAGGCATCTTCTTCAACGTCTCCAGCCCGAGGATCACTGCCGCCAGCCGCCATTGTTTTAGGATGTACTGCCGCGGACACACCGCCGGAAACGGAAGCCGAGAGCGCGGGACTAACACCCTATACCTAGGAAAAGAGCCAATCCGGTTCAGGGGCGGGGCCAGGTGGAATGGGCGGGCCCTGAGGAAGCGGAGTGGGCCGGGACCTAGAAAAAGAGCCAATCCGGCCCAGGGGCGGGGCCAGGTGGAATGGGCGGGCCATGAGGAAGCGGAGTGGGCCCGGACGAATAGGTCGGGCGGGCGAACCACGCACGGAAGCCACGAGTCTAGGCTCGTCGCGCGAGAAGCGCTCTCAGGTCTCAGTCCTGGTGGTTCCCGGTCGTTAGCTGCGGTTCTGTACTGCCGGCTTGGACATGAACTATTTATTTTCTCCAGTACGCCCTTGCCGTAAAAACCGTTTCAGGAGAAAAGGATTAAGAGAAGTGCAGGATTGAGCTAAGTGGCTGTCCCAAGGAATCATGGGAGCTGGGTAGGTGACTACAAAGACATACTGGAATGTCTTTCAGTGATTTAATTGCTGGGCAAGAGGATAAGGAGTTGAGGAGAGCGGTGAGTAGTGGCAGGTGCCTTTAATCCCAACAGTTGGGAGGTGGACGAGAGGGTCTGTGAGTCCAAGGACAGCCTCGTCTACGTAGTGATAGTTCCAGACCAGCCAGGGCCACAGAGTGAGACCCTGTCTCAGAAACAAACAAACAAAAACAACGTTCAAGAAGAGCTTTGACTATATAGCAAATTCCATGGTTCCATGGCTACATACCACCCTGTTGCAAAATGGGGTGAGAAGGCAGTTAATTGTTTCTAGTGTACTTAATAATTCTGAGCAGGTAAACTAATATTGAGAATCTCCTAGTATGTCTTTTGGGACATTTGAATGATAGTAGAAAGTTAAATGAAAAGTGATGCTGTTTTCAATACAAGAGAAAAAAGTTTGTACAGTGAACAATGAGGAAAAAAAAAGCTTTCCCAGTACTTGGGACATTAGTAACAATAGTAAACTCTGCTAACATAATTAAAAAAAAAAATGGATTGAAAGGGTTGGAGAGATGGCTTTGTGGTTAACAACACTGATGGTTTGTTTGTTTGTTTTTCAAGACAGAGTTTCTCTGTGTAATGGTCTTCACTGTCCTGGAACTCACTCTGTAGACCAGGCTGGCCTTAAACTCACGGAGATCTGCTTCTGCCTCCCAAGTGGCACCACCAACTGACTCAAAGTAAATCTTTTTTTTTAAATGATTGAAAACTGGAAGGTGGTGGCATACACTTTTAATCCCAGCTCTTGGGAGGCAGAAACAGGTTGATCTCTGTGATTTTGAGATCAACTTGGTCTACAGGGCAAGTTCCAGGACAGCCAGTGCTACACAGAGAAACCCTGTCTCAAGAGACAAAAACAAGAACAAAAAAATGGGGCTGGCTAGATGGTTCAGAGGTTAAGAGCACTAGCTACTCTTTCAGAGGTTCTCAGTTCAGTTCCTAGCAACCACATGGTGACTCACGACCATCTGTAATGAGATCTGGTGTGCTCTTCTGGTATGCAGGCATACATGCAGACAAAACGCTGTATACATAATAAATAAATCTTTAAAAAATGGATTGAGCTGGGTGGTGGTGGCACACGCCTTTAATCCCAGCACTTGGGAGGCAGAGGCAGGCAGATCTCTGTGAGTTTTAGGCCAGCCTGGTCTACAAGAGCTAGTGCCAGGACAGGCTCCAAAGCTTCAGAGAAACCCTGTCTCGAAAAACTTTAAAAAAAAAAAAAGGATTGAAATATTACCAGTCAAATGTGCATTTTTAATTAGGTGGGGTCATACTTACGAAGGCACACAGACAGAGGAGGTCAGAGAATAATTTTGTGGAGTTGGTTCTCCTTTCACATTTATTTATTTATTTTTTGATTTTCGAGACAGAGTTTCTCCGTAGCTTTGGAGCCTGTCCTGGAACTAGCTCTTGTAGACCAGGCTGGCCTCGAACTCACAGAGATCCGCCTGCCTCTCTAGTGCGTGCTGGGATTAAAGGCATGCGCCACCACCACCTGGCTCCTTCCACCTTTACATGGGGTTGAATGCTATCAGGATTGAACATCAGTTCCTCTTATCTACTGCATCATCTCACTGACCCAAGAATAGGTAGTCTTTCTGTTGTTTGTTTTTTGTTTTTGAAGACAGAGTTTCTCTGTGTAACAGTCCTAGCTGTCCTGGAACTAGCTCTTTTAAAACAGGCAGGCCTCGAACTCACAAATATCCACCTGCCTCTGCCTCTCAAGTGCTGGGATTAAAGGCGTGCACCACCACCTCCAGGCTTACTTAGTCTTTTGATTTTAAAGTAAAAATCAATTTTACGAAATTGCTATGTATCTATATTTGTAGATACATAGCATTGGTTAAAATAAATGGTTATCTAGTGTTGGCAGAGCTTTTTAACCAGTTCACAATGCTCTCCTGAACTGTATATAAGAACTTCACAGCAGGGGCTGGAGAGATGACTCAATGGTTAAGACTACTGAATATGGTATAAATGTATCCCTTAAAGGTTCATATATTGGGAGTTTGATCCTCTACACTTGGAAGTCAGAGCCAGTGGGACCTTTAAGAGGTGGGAACTGGAACTGGAGAGATGGTTCAGTCACAAAAGTGCTTGTCTTGCAAGCCTGAGGACCCAAATTCCATCTGAGAGTTTGGAGAATATAGATGAACAAGGAAAGAAAAAGCAGGCTCCCTTAGATGTAGCTTCCTGTTTCCAGAAGGTATTGAGAAAAACCACAGGAACGCATGGAGACAGGTATCTAAACAGGACCACCCGTAGTGGAAAGAGGAAATCCCAAGGGCCTTATAAAATACCCAAGCCAGAGTCCACTTAGGAATTCTGACTTGGGCTTCTATCCCTACAGGAAAAAACTGTTACTTTCCCTTTCTCCATGATCAGGCTTCTGTCTTTCCCAGATGTTCAAATCCTTTGTCTGTATCAGGGAGTGAGCTGGATGGTCCCCTAGATGGCCACCAGCACCCTTTTCATAGAACCTTAGAACACACATAAAGTGCTGACAATCCACGCTTTGGGGAGGAGGAAGATAGACACAACCCCTAAAGCTCACTGGCTAGCCAGCCTAGCCTAATTGTAAATAAGTGTGCTGTGAGACCTGCTTCAAAGGCATAGGATGGCCTTCCTGAGTGTGACATCCAAGGTTGTTCTCTGACCTGTACATGGATATGTGTACACACACACACAGATGAGGGTGCCCAGTGAGTAAAGACACTCGCTACCAAACCTGACGAGCTGAGTTTGATTTCTGGTATCCACTTGATGGGAAGAGAAACGTGACCCCCCAAAAGTTGTCCTCTGACCTCCACATATGCACCATAGTGCCTGAACATGTGCGTGCACACACACAAAGTATATAAAAAAAATTTTAATGAGTTTTTCTTTTTAAAAATTTTTTAATCTTATTTATTTATATTTATTGGTTTTTCGAGACAGGATTTCTCTGTAGCTTTGGAGCCTGTCCTGGAACTCACTTTGTAGACTAGACTAGGCTCAAACTCACAGATCCTCCTGCCTCTGCCTCCTAAGTGCTGGAATTAAAGGCGTGTGCCATCACCACCCAGCTTTTAGTGACTTTTTTAAATAAAGAAGGCCTGATAGAATGTCCTTAGATCACTGGGACATACCTTTAATTAATTAATTAGGAATTAATGTAGTTAGTACTTTTTGCACAACAGACTCTGAATTTCATCTTTACCATGTTTTCTGTCTTACATGCGTTCCCCATGATGCCATGTATTGTGAGGTCCCTAACAGAGCGCCATGCCATTTGGCTTCCAGAACTGTGAGGATCTGGAGGTTAATCTTGATAAGTAACACCGATTGCCAATTTGAATGGCTTTTATCCACTGAACCATCTCCCCATCCTGTAGCTTTGGAGCCTGTCCTGGAACTAGCTCTTGTAGGCCAAGCTGGCTTCTCAGATTCGCCTGCCTCTGCCTCCATCCTTGTTCTTATCAAAGATTCTGGCATTGTAAAATCTAAGAAATGCACTTTTTATTATGACACAGCATAGTTAAATGTCATTTTGGCTGTTTTAAAAACATTTTAGATTTAGTTTACCATTTTATGCATATGACTGTTTTACCTGCACGTACATCACTCTTCTTCAGGCCTGTCATCTAGTTAGGATGGACTTACCCTAGCAAGGATTTGGAGAACTTGTCCTATCACAGTGCTGAAGTGAGTAAGACATGACGACCAGAGAGAATGACACCATTGACCAGAGAGAAAGAAACCATCTTGGAGCCGGGCGATGGTGGCGCACGCCTTTAATCCCAGCACTCGGGAGGCAGAGGCAGGCGGATCTCTGTGAGTTCGAGACCAGCCTGGTCTACAGAGCTAGTTCCAGGACAGGCTCCAAAGCCACAGAGAAACCCTGCCTCGAAAAACCAAAAAAAAAAAAAGAGAGGCAGGCGGATCTCTGGGAGTTCGAGGCCAGCCTGGTCTACAAGAGCTAGTTCCGGGACAGGCACCAAAGCTACAGAGAAACCCTGTCTCGAAAAACAAACAAATAAATAAATAAATAAAAATAAAAAAAAAAAAGAAACCATCTTGGAGGTCATATTGCCTCTGACTAGGCAGGCCTCTTGTAATAATCCGCCCCGCAGATTATTATTATTTTTTAAAGAGACAGAATCTTCACTGTGTAGTCCTCTACACACCTAACTGATTGGGATATTTTTGAAATCACTTGGAATGGTGGTATATACTTTTAATGCCAGCAGCTGGAAGGCAGGTGGATATGAGAATGATGAACAAGGAAACAAGGTAACTGCTAATCCCTGTTTCAGATATCAAGTCACCTGGTTACAAAGAGGCAGAAGACAGTTTTTGTCCATTATGATTTATTCTCTACAATACTTCATTCAAGACTTTGATGACGTGTACTCAGAAGTTATATAGCCAAGAGGCAACCAACTGTAATACAAATAATTGGTCTGAAGTCTTTTCAGTGAAGGCCATACAGTCTCTTGCTTTGAGGAAACAAAATAAAAAAGTAAAAATAAAGAACACAGTTTTGTAGGCTTCGGAAATCTTAAAAGAAAGTAACACCAAGTTAGTGAAACTGTAGATATTAACATAGCGTGGAAAACAGAGCTTGTGCAAAATATTAAAACTAACACCCAAGACTTCTTTTGTATAGATGATTTTTTTAGTATAAACTGTAAAATATATGTAACGACTCAACTACAAACCTTTCGTGAAGAAAGGGTTTCTAACATGAGTTATTTTAACATTATGAAGCGAAAATGTTTAAAGAACCTCACAGTGGAAACAACCCAACACTGACAAACTCTAGTGATCAAAGACATTCGCTTTTAGCTCAGGAAAACAAGGACAATTCATAATTACAGAGTGTGTCCTAGCTGTGGGTATGATGAGACAAGCCAACTTCCCAGACCAAAAGGCACACACAGCTAGGGATGAAAACAAATTCCAAACCAAGCCAGCAGAGTCAGGCTGGTTCGTAGTAACAGTGGGGACCTCTGCTAGTTTGAGCAGCCTAGTCAAAGAAAACACTGGGCAGCAAGCAGTCCCTTTCCTCAGCCATCACTTACTGGCCCCATACTGGCCCCTCACCACTACTTTGGTCAATGTGCAGAAGGCAGCTTAGTTCTAGTTCAGAGTGCCACCTCCCAATGCAAAGCCCACGTGTGGACAGTCCTGAGAGCCCTCTGCCACATGTCCCCACGAGGTGACCATAACTGTGCACTTCTAGACTTCTTCCTGAATGGTCAGGACAGACACCAATAGAGCCCATTTCTTCTGGGCCAAATAGTTTCCTCGCCTGACTCCCTAGTCCCCTTGACAATTCCAATGCTGCACTTCTGTGGGACACGAGGGGACATGCAGGGAGTCAGGCTTCTTCACTCAGCGCAGAGCCCACTGCAGTGTGAGGCTGGGCTGAGCCAGCCAGGTTCATGTTCACTGATCTCCCACCTTCTTGGGTCCTATATTTTTCTGTTTGTTTTTAAGTGGCAGGTATTCTACCCCACCATCAATAAAATAAAATATATACTATACATTGGAAAACAGATAGGGCAACATTTCTACAAGAAAAACAGGCTTGAGGAGCATGGCACTATAGATGCTTGCATGACCAGTCTCACCGAGAGTGCTCAGGGGTGAAGTTTAGCACCATTTTTTTTTTTTGCATTTTGCTTTAAATCTTTAGGAATTAAACACAACTCTTAACATAGAACGCCTGAACAGTAATGAGTGTAGCCCTATGTACCAATACTGTTGGACAAATTGAAGAGGGTGGCTCAGTCCAGAACTGACCACCCTGACATCAATCCATGGCACCTGAGAGCACCTGCTGTCACACTATAACATCACCTTCATTGCCCTCAGCAGCAAGAAACCATGAGACCTCTTCATCTTTATGTATGTTAAGAACCACACCTGGCAGTAAGGGGCATGTATCCTGGGCATTCCAATGTAATCAGCACCCCCCTCATCCATTCCAGGTCCTTGAACACACCTGGCACAATTGCCGGGCCTCCTTTTAAAACATCCCAGGAACTTGAGGGTGATGCCTATAATCACATAGGAAGTACCCTTACTTCCCTTCCTCCATTCCTGGCAGAAGAAACTCAGATGATCTTTTTGACTTGAAGATTTGCCCATTTTAGAAAGCCACACCATCACATCAATTCTGAAAAAGAAATCAAAACATATTCACTGACTCGAGGCCCATGTGCCTCATGAGTTCTCTATGAACATTGCTGATCCCAGCACGCCATCCTCAGAGCCTTTCTTCCAGCTGGCCGTCTTCCTTCGAGCTGCCCGAGCAGTGCCTTTGAGACAGCTTTCAGAGCACCTCCCTAGTCTCCTTGTACTATGCATTTTGCCACCAAGTGAGTGAAAAGAATTTGCTGACAGCTATCCTGGAATGAGTAAAGATGGGAAAGGGAATGTCAGGGTTTAAATGAGCAACACGAGCAATTGACATTTCCACTGGTGAGGTGAGAGTCCCAGTGCGGTAGGCAAGTTGAGGGTTCACCTTGTTTTATTACACAGCTTTGCTCTCGAGTCCTACCGAGGACTGACATAAGTCTTTCCACTTCTGCAGGCAAATGGGAAAAAAAAGGACCCTCAGGATGTTTGCCTGTGAAGAAAACCAGCTCAGAGACCCTGGAAGCTCTCCTGTGACAGTGTGCTCTAAAGCCCAACCCAACCACCTGTTTGCATGTCTGTGCTTCTGAGAACCTCGATGCAACTACATAGGCACTGCTACCAGAAGAAGGTTGAGGTAGCCGGTGGTGAGGAAGAGATCTCTCCTTTCACACCTGCTTATGACAATGACATCAGGACCTCTAGGGCATCTCCATTCCATTCCTCAGCAGGCTATGCCACAGAGCTCTGTTCAACACCAGGAGATCCAACGTAGGAAGAGTACTGCAAAGTCCAGCTGAGAGTCAGGTAAGCATCAAAACCTTCAAGCTTCCTGCACAATGCAAGGCCATCCAGCAGGACTTCTGATCTTGGTGCAGTTCTCTTGCCCAGGACTCACAGGGGCTCATGGTGCCCGCATTCAACCCTTACATGGTGTTCATTTATGAAGCATGGAGGTTGTGATCAACTCTTGGTACACAATAAACTGGAAGTTTTAAAAAAGGAATTTAAAACAACCTAAAAGTGGTTCATGTTGGTCTCCGTTGCCCAGACTGCCAGGGGAGTACACCTCATTGGTCTGGTGGCCTGTGGGGGTTGAGAAGGAAGTCTCCATGGATCATCATCAATTCCAGTTTTCAGTGTGTGGCCAACACATGTGGGAAATCACCAGATAATGGTCTTCTAAACCCATACAGCCATTGTCACTGTTATTAGGGGGCCCTGATCCAACAGAACCCCAGATTGAGGAAAGGCTGATATAAGGCTTGGGCCCCTCATGTTCTGTTGCAATCAATGTAACCCCACACCCTCCAGTCAACAGGAGGCAGACTTGGCAACGGAAGCTAGCATCATAAAATGGTGCAGTAATAGAAGTAACTGGACCAGGAAGAGGAGGCATCTGTTCCAATGATGTCATAGCCATTGGTGGCCACAGGGGGGTGGGACTGGTCATGTAGCCGTGTGTCAGGAGTAATGATTGTACAGGGGCGGGGCATGAAGAGTGCCATTCTGGAAACAGTGTTGTCGAGAAGCAATATATTCCGCATAACTGATTGTCACCTTCTCACTTCGATACCTGTATGAGGAAAACAGGCAAAGGTATTAGGAACCCCAAACATCTCAGTGTGAAGTTACTCAGTAGAAAAAAACCAAAACCTTATCCCAGTATTAAAGAATAAAATGGAAGACCAAGAGCAATCTTACAGAAAATGAAAAGACGGCACAAGAAAATGATGCTGTTATTACAAATGAACAAGATGAAAAAGCACAATCACAGTTCACCCCTGAGAATGTATCTCAGCACATCCCACCTCAAAACGCTACATATGCTTATCAACAGGCTGCTGGTAAGCAATCAGCTACCAGGATCTAGATGAGGAATTTCAAGTCAAATTACATGGGTGGCAGATTGGAAGATGGCTGCACCAAAACCCAGCGTAAACTGCGTTATCTACATTCATATTATAAATGAGATAAATTTGACAGAAATGCAACCTCAATTTGTAGAAGAGCAACAAACAAGTTATAACTAAAAGGGTCATAGATACCTAATTCTGGGTCAAATTCTGATGAAGCACGTTAATGGATCCTTGGCTATAGGAAGGTTTCAATCCCCAGATGAATATGCCATATCACAGGGTCATCAGAACAGAATTCATAGCACTTTGGCTTTGCTCTGGAAAGAGCCATGAGTCAGGATGCAAAGCATGGGTGTTACAAACCTATGGAGCCTACTACAGACCACAGGAGCTGGGTGACAATCCTTACCCAGAGCCATCTCTTTCCCACTGTAATCACTCCTCCACTGCAAGGTGATTATTCCTGAATTTTGACAGGGAAATGGCTGTTCAAATAAATTGTAATAGTAATAATGTTTTGTATTTGCAGTGTTTTTATCTTTAATTATTATTGTTATTATTATTGGTTGGTTTTTTTTTTTTTGGTGCTAGAGATGGAACCCAGAGTCTTGAACATATATTAAGCTCTACCACAGAGCTGCAGTCCCAGCCCTTTGATTTTTTAATTTAATGCATTAAAAAAACACTGAGTTATCATCCAAACAGACCTGTGAGGCTAACATACGATGGCTCAGCATTTTGTAGATGAGGGTCCTAGCAAAAGCCCAAAGCTAACTTTCCTTTGTTCCCAACATCAACAGGAAGGGGTAGAACACTGACATCACTGAACATTTCCCTGGCCCTTAACTTACCACATCTTAAAAACCTGAAGGAATTACAACTCACATCTTACAGACAGGAAACAGTTCAGTGAGATGGACGAACTGGCCCAGTTACATAGCTAATAACTGAGCCTGGGATACAGACCCAAGTCACTTGTGTTCATAAAACTAGCCAGCTTCCTACAGAAGTACTATACTCCAAGTGGAGTGTATAGCTACTTGTAAACGTCTTTGATCTCCTTTATTCCCTGCCATCTGACTGCATGGTGACCAGGAAGAATAAGTTCACGTGAGGCTGCATATACATTTCTGGAGCCTTTACCTCTTAACTCCCATCTCCCCCTTAATCTTATAAAACTACATGGGTCTGGCAACCACCCCTCTTTGGTAGGCCTAACCCTGCTTCAACCCTGTTACACTGACTGTAGAGACAAAGAATAGCTGGGAATCTCCATCTCTGCAGTCACTGCTTCCTCAAAGCTCAAACCTCACACAAACCTCTTTGGCTTACGGATATAAAGTTTTCTTCCCCTTCCTAGATATCCTGTATTCAACCCCCATTAAAGAAAAACTAAAAAGAACAAAATAGCTGCTTACCTGGTGAGTTTGATTGATTTTCTGAATTCATTGGTAATTGGAGCCTTAAAGCCACCTTTCCTGAGCAAGGAGTCTATTGTCTGGATCTGATCCCAGTCTGAGGAGAATAGAAGTTATAATAAGGTCAGCACACAGTCAAACCATGGGGGGAGCATGCTCCAATATGATCAGTGGAGGAAGACAAATGAGATTTAAGGAACAGCAGAGTGTGCCAGGGGAAAGATAGCACTGGGCCATGGTCCCAACTACTGAAAGCCAATCAGCCTCACTGACAGTCCAGCAAAGACCCTGAGACATGACATTATAATTCAATGTGCCCTGACGCTGTCCAAGTTCACCAGTCTTTCATAATTCTTACAAGGTGTTATCTATGTATATTTCTGAAGCTCAGGAGGCTCTATGGAAAGAAGGGGTAGAATATATCTGCCTAGGCTATTTTATTTTTTTTAAAGATACACATACTATGTATGTGTTTGTTGGGGGCAGTACACACAGAAGATGTTGTTAAATCTCCTGAAACTGGAGTTACAGGTAGTTGTGCTGAGTATTTCCATAGCTGCTGATGGGAACCAAATCTAGGTATTCTGTAAGAGCGGTAAGAAGCAGTGTCTCTCTCTCTCTCTCTCTCTCTCTCTCTCTCTCTCTCTCTCTCTCTCTCTCTCTCTCCCGGGTTCTCTTTGTTTAAGAGCCTTAGCTCTCCTGGAGCTCACTATGTAGATCAGGTTGGCCTTAATCCCAGAGAAAGATCTGTTCTGCCTCTCAAGTGCTGGGATTAAAGGTATGTACTGCCATTGCCTGGCTTTGTTTTTGTTTTTTAATTTATTGTTATTTTTAATGTGAGTTGGTATTTTGCCTGCATTTATATCTGTGTGAGGGTGCCAGAATCCCTGGAACTGGAGTTACGGACAATGTGTCATGTGGGTGTTGGAAATTTAAACTGGGTCCTCTGGAAAAAGTCAATGCTCTTTACCACTGAGCCATCTCACCAGCTCCACTGAGCAGATGGGACTACAGACATGTGTCACTATAGAAAGACAGAAATTTTCTAAATTTAAAATTGTGTGTGTGTATATGTGTGTGTATGTGCACCTAAGTGCAGATACCCCAGAGGCCAGAAGCTTTGGAGCTGAAATTGTAGGCAAACGTAGGTACTGGGAAATGAAATTCTGTTCTCTGAAAGAGCAGTAAGTACACACTCCTTTAGTTTTTCTCCAGTCCAAGAAGGGAATTTAAATTATGTGGCTTTTACTGCCTTGGGCAGCCTTTCTTCATGTTGATAGGTAGGACAGAGAACTGATACCAATAAGGAAACTATCTCCTTAGTGAAGACAGAAGTTCTTCATTGTATTGTTGATCTCTCCTCGTTACTATTTCTTCACCTCTGTATTGTTGACTCTCTCATTACTATTTCTTCACCTTTATTGTTGATTTTATCCTTGTTACTATTTTTTTAAATATTTATTTATTTATTATATATACAATATTCTGTCTATGTGTATGTCTGCAGGCCAGAAGAGGGCACCAGACCTCTTTACAGATGGTTGTGAGCCACCATGTGGTTGCTGGGAATTGAACTCAGGACCTTTGGAAGAGCAGGCAATGCTCTTAACCACTGAGCCATCTCTCCAGCCCTACTATTTTTTTTTAAATACTTGGTCTTGTTATGTATATGCCCCAACTTAGGCTCAAACTCACTTAGGCTCAAACTCAAAAGGCAATCCTTTTACTTCAGCCTCTTGTGTGTCAGATTTTGAGTGTACCACCCCACCTAACTCAATCTTACTGTATGTCTGTTTGTGCCTGTATGTGGATATGTGCACATAAACACATAAATACAGGTGCCCCTGGAGCCAGAGTTAATGGCAGTTGTGATTGCTGGGAACCTCTGCAAGAGCAGTACACATTTGACATTGAGCCAGATATCTCTCCAGCCCTTCAATCTTACACATTTTAAACAAGTAAAATAAGCACATCAAGTAGAAAACCCTCTTTCCAATTACCAAAGGAGAAGCTCCCAATTTTGAATTTTCTCAACTTTAAAATTGAAGAAACAATTTGATTATTTAAGTGAAGTATAATTCACATCCAACTACTAAAAACTATGTATGGTGTTCTTTAAACAGGAGCATGTTAGACTTGACCAAATTGTCTTAAGTTCATATTCTTTATGCTACATACACACTGCTTTTTAGACAAGTTTAACACAACCACAATGAAAACCAACAAGGTGATCGCTTTCCACATTAAGTAGTTCATTAATATACTTAACTGGATATCTTTCTCTATTCCAGGTTCACACCCAACAATTACTGTGTTTCACATATTATTTTCAAAACCAGACTAATTCCAAGAAAGAAAGAAAATGGGGTTACATATCACAGAAAGTACAAGAAACAATTAAAGGAATTCTAGATATTCTTTCAAAGAGACAATGTGCCCAACCCACTTCCTACCTGTACTGTCCCCATTATAAGAACTCATTAACTACTGAGGTTTATATATATATTGTTGGAGTCTTTCTATGCAGCCCTGCCTGGTCTGCCAGTCCTACATAGATCCTTGATTTCAGAGAAATCCACCTGTCTCTGCCTTCCAAGTGCTGGGATTAAAGACATGTGCTACCATATCTGGCAATTACTGAGCTCTTTAAAAGCCATAGGTAAGATATTTATCCTTATCCAAATATAATACCATGTATGGATTTCACAGTTAAAAAAATAGAACCTTCCTTTATAACAAAAGATAAAACATGGTCAAGCTAGTTGCTCTGATAATCCCTGAAGCTTAAGGGGGCAAAGAAATAGATCTGTTCATTGGAAGGAAACATCTGAAACCACAAGCAAGTAAGAAAGTTATTTTTCTCTTCCCGTCCAGTTTCCAGCATCTATGGCAGTTTGCCTTTTTCTCTACAGGAATCTGACAGGAATTCAGAGGAAGAAAAGCATTTACACTAGGTGTACATGTGGCAGTTGAGCTGAACACTTCTCTCTCCTGCCCTTTTAACTGGCATAGCTGTAAGTAGTACAGTTCTCTAAGTGTCCAACTCACCTTGTTCCTTAGCAACCTCAGGTAAATATGTGGCTGTGCGTTTGATGCCTTTTTCATTGATGAATTCAATCCGAATCCCATGGACCCCTACCTACAAGAAAATATAACCAAGTACATGGCATTTTCTGATTCTAACAACACTTCAAACACCCACATATGAATCAACATAGTCTCCTGAGCTGCTTGACGCAGATCTGGGAAAAGGAATCTTGGTGTTTTTCAGAGACAGGGTTTCTCTGTGTAGACTGGCTGTCCTTAAACTCAGAGATCCCCCTGCCTCTGCCTCCCCTGGGATTAAAAACATGCCCCACCATTGCTCATCTGACTAATTAATTCTAAAGTATAGATATCAAAGGAAGGTGTTTTAGGAAAAGGTAAAATATGTGTAGTTCCACCTGAGAATATGAAGCTTGTAGAAATAAGTTCTTGAAATAGGAAAACCAATAGTTTGAATTAATCTATTTATCTTTATTTTATGTTCATTGGTGTTTTGACTGCTGTGTGAGAGAGTTAGATCTTAGAGTTACAGTTGTGAGCTGCCATGTGGGTGCGGGAATTGAACCTAGGTCCTTTGGCAGATCAGTCAGTGCTTTTAACCACTGAACTATCACTCCAGTTCCAAGTATGACTTCTAGCCTAATTTCACTACATGAACATGTCAAACTGTTTCTATATAAGTTTGTGGTTCTTCAAATTGGTTCCCTTTGAATTATTTTTTAATTGTCTTACTATATATAGCCCAAAGTGGTCTGGAACTTGCAACCCTGCTCCTTCTACCTCCTGATTTGCTAGTATTATAGGCAATGGGCCACCGTGTACAGGTTTACATCTGATTCCTAATAAAAACTTCTCTCTAGGGGATCATCAAGAGGCACCTGGGGTATTTTGTTATCTCATTATTAAACTAGATATGGGAGAAGGAGCACATGAGTCTTATTGAATCTAGAACAGAGTGGGCTGGGAAGAAGTAGCAGAGAGGTTTTTTTTTCTAGGGTTGGAGGCAGGAAGTATCTCACTGTGTATTCCTGGCTGATATGACCAGGCTGGTCTTAAACTCAGTGCTTGGATTCAAAGTGTGTGTTACCGTGCCTGGCTAATAGTAGAGAGTACTGATTTTCCATTTTTCTATTTCTAGTAGAGAAATTTCTGTCACCTTTTCTGTCACTTTCACATTTTTAGACCCTCTCTCAATGAAGGAGATACATTACCATGTACTAACCCGAACCCAAATGCAACGAGAGATGCAGAGATCCAAATGCAGCTGTTCTCACCTCCCAGTCCAGGTAATCACTGGCATCTTCAAAGTTAGTAAGGAGGGAGACAGAACAGAAAAGTTTGGGCAGCTCCTCTCGGGTCAGGGGGGGAAATCGGCTGTCCTTAAGTGCACTAGAGGGGACAGAAAATACAAGTGAGGATACTTCCAGTTAGGAGACAACACTGCATGCCATAAAGCCCACAAGCTGAGTCCCCAAGATCTTCTGACAGTGTCTCCTAGCACCTAACACTATTGTCAGTATTAACTGTCTTTCCTGTCATCAGATGATAGTCCTTACATTTCTTGACTACAAAAAGGGTGATGTGGGAAGTCCTTCTATGTATGTGCTTCTTTTATTGGTTAATGAATAAAGAAACTGCTTTGGCCTGTGATAGGGCAGAATAGAGCTAGGCGGGGAAAACTAAATTGAATGCTGGGAGAGAGTAGGCGGAGTCAGGGAAAAGCCATGTAGCTGCCAGAGGAAAAAAATGCAAGCTGCCAGTGGGAACCACGCCAGTAGGCCACAACCCTCATGGTAAAATAAAATAGAAATGGGTTAATTTAAGATGTAAGATCTTGTTAGGAATATGCTAGAGTCATTGGCCAAGCAGTGTTGTAAATAATATATAGTTTCTGTATGGTTATTAAGGTTCTGAGCAGCAAGGAATGAACAAGTAGCTTCAAAAAGGGACTCCTCAAACTCTACCAAACACTTGGAAGAAATAAGACTAGATAGCTATTTCCAATTCTAGTTAATTTATGAGTATTGTCTAATGCTTGTATCATTACCTGGTTAGCGTGTATTCCCTGAGTCCTGAATGAAGATTCATGGCTGAGAAGGTCCCAATACAGCCACGAAGCCGCTTGTCTCGCCCTGTCTTCCAGGTCACAAAGAGAGGACTAAAAAAAGCAAAACATTAAATATTCTCCAGCCCTAAATTAATTATGGATATATTTCTATTCATTTCTGCTATTGCCCAAAGGATTTACTGAATTGTCTACCTGAAGCTACCCGAAGAACTCTGACTTTCTAGAAGTTGCTCAGCCCTGACTGAAACCATGGCCATTACCATGAGAAATAGGAGCTACTCTGTCCATATGCAGCCTTTCCTCTGCTCTGCCCTCACAACTTCCCTTCACCCAGATGCCACATGTCTAAGCTCTTTCCTCTTCCTTGTCTTGAATGCAACTTTTCCTGTTTACTTTTCTAGAATCTGTACCACTCAAAGTTGCCCATGTGGGCCTGAATTTGAGATATCCTTGCCTCCACTCACAAAGTGCTAGAATTATGTGCTCTACAACACTCAGCAAGCTCCCCTCTTTCGAATTTTTACATTATCCCCCCCCTCTTTTACTCTGCTTCACTGAGTTTCATATTGCTCAGTTCCATCGTTCATGATGACATACCTTGCCCATACCTCACTCTCCTTAGCTACAAGCATTTTCTGCAATACTTCATTGTTTCCACAATTTAACTACTGAAAAACTACAGAGTTCCTGCCCATAGACTTTCAGAAGAGAGAAACAACGTCAAGAAAGCTTTATATTAACGGAAATTCCCAATTCTGCTTATGCCAAAGTCACATTTCATTGGCTGTATCAGATGGACGACAGTTAGAGTTGCCCCTCTTTCCTAGGATCCCTCCACATTCCTAATGCCCTTACCTTTTAGATTCGAGTTAGTCACTTCTCTATGGCAAAGTAAACAAAGTTACCTAGACCCCTCCACCCCATCTCTGAGAAAGGTTATCACTACATAGCCTTGGTTGGCCTCAAATTCAAAGATCCTACTCCCTCTGCTGGGATTAAAGGTGTGTGCCTGTTTTTTTGTTGTTGTTTTTCGCTTTTTTTTAAAATAATTTATTCTTATTTTATGTTCATTGGTGTTTCGCCTACATGTGTGTTTGTATGAGAGTGTCAGATCCCCTAAAACAGTTGTGCACCGTTATGTGGATGCTGGAAATTGAAACCAGGTCAGTGCTCTTAACCACTGAGTCAATTCTCCAGCTCCCCACATCTGGCTTAAATGTTTTCTTAAGGAGGAAAAAAAAAAAACCCTATGTTCCAGCATGTAGTGCAGGTGCACACGTGCCGAGGTATGCATGTGGACGTCAAAGGAAAACCTTAGGTATTGGTGTCTATCTTCCTCATTGTTTAAAATAGAAATAGAGTGTCTTACTCTTTGCTGCATATTCCAGCACCCCAAAGATGTGGTGGTGCACGCCTTTAACCTCAGCACTCGGGAGGCAGAGGCAGGCGGATCTCTGTGAGTTCGAGACCAGCCTGGTCTACATAGTGAGTCCCATGACAGCCAGGGCTACAAGTTGAGACCCTGTTTCAACACAAAACAAAACAATTCCCTGAAAAGTGAACACATTTTCCTCCCAAAACTCATTCAGTTTATACAGTCTAACTTTCCTTATACTATAGTTAATTCTGTGTATGCACATGGTTTGCCAACTCTAATGAGTGTCCCAAAGCAAGGACCTTTTCTTTCTACTCCCCAACTTTGTTCAGGGTTCTGCAAACCTCAGTACAGGAGGGAAAAAAAGGAAAAAAAAAAAAAAAGAAAAAATTGGGCGGTGGTGGCGCATGCCTTTCCTTTAATCCCAGCTCTTGGGAGGCAGAGGCAGTCGGGATCTCAGTGAGTTCAGTGTCAGCCTGGACTATAAAATGACTTCCAGGCAAAGCTGTCCTGGAACAAACAAATGAAAAAAGATACTGTTTCAGCCGGGCGTTGGTGGCGCATGCCTTTAATCCCAGCACTCGGGAGGCAGAGGCAGGCAGATCTCTGTGAGTTCGAGACCAGCCTGGTCTACAGAGCTAGTTCCAGGACAGGCTCCAAAGTCGCAGAGAAACCCTGTCTCGAAAAACTGAAAAAAAAAAAAGAAAAAAGAAAAAAGAAAAAAGATACCATTTCAAATAAAAGGTCTAAGTGAAGGGCATAACATAGTGGTAGAATACATGTTCAGAAAACATGATGCCCCAAACTCAAATCCTTAGCAACCAAAACCAAAACCAAAAGTCAGCACAGCACCAACAACTGGTGGTGGTGGTGGTGGGGGGTATTCATGAATGCCAAAGAAGCATCCCTGAAAACACATATCCAAAACCGGAAGTGCTTTGCTTTTTGTTTTTTTGAGACAGGGTTTCTCTGTGTAGCCCAGGCTGTTCTGGAACTCACTTCACTGCCTTTGTCTCCCAAGCACTGGGATTAAAGGTTTTTTAAAGCTAGTGCAGCCTGGTGGTAGTGGTGCACACCTTTAATCCTAGTGCTCAGGTGACAGAGGCAAGTGCATCTCTGTGAGTTTGAGACCAGTCTGGTCTACAGAGTTCCAAGACAGGTTCCAAAGATACATACAGAAACCCTGTCTTGAACAACAAACAACAAAAAAAGGGCTGGTGCAGAGCTGCCTCCAATTTTGAGGAAGAAAACATTGGCCTTGCCTTTCTTCATTTTATGTTATATTGCTTAAACATACTGGAAATGGCTCGGTGGTCAGAAGAGCTGTGCTGTTCAACTGGGAAGACTAGAATTTAGATCCTCAGAACCCACATAAATGCCAGTGGGTGTGGTAGCCCACCTGTAATTCTGGCTTCAGAAGGTGGCGATAGTAGATCCCTGGCCAAGCTGGCTAGTTGAGACTAGCCATATCCACCAGTTCTGGGTTAGACTGAGATCATCCCTGACACAATGAAACAAAGCAGAACACTTGAAGAGCCTCCACTATACAAATACATGCCTGCCCCTACCCCAGTGCATGCACATATATGTATACACACATGCATGAAAAAGGATACCTTTAGACATGTTAGGACTACCAAAAGAATCTTTTTAAAAGCATCAGCTCCCAATGAAACCCCTAGTCTCCAAGCTTGGCCATCAGACACATTCCCTTGGACTTCAACACTACTGAGGTCTCTCTCCAGTGTGATAGCGTGACTTCTCTTCCACCCTAAGTCATGCGAAGCACCACCACCAACAAAAATGACTAAGGTTCCCATAACCCTGCAGACAGACCGTTAAGAGTAAAGTCAGAAATGTTAACATGCCCTCCACTGTCCCGTGCCTAATTTACTCACTAGGGGTCATTGGTGAATCTAGGAAGTCGTGGCTGTGGGAAGCCATAGAGGTGACAGTAGAGTACATCAAAACAGTAGCAGCACATTTCTGCAGTCACAACCAGATTCTTAGTGGTATTGGCAGTTCCATTGGGCCGGGGAAGAGGGCTCAGGGCTCCAGATGCAGGATTCATTCGTGTGATAGGAGAGTTTCCAGGTCCCAGAGTTAAGTCCGATCCATTTTCTCGACCACTGCTGCTGTCCACATGCTGGTGGTTTTGAAGAGGTCCTGAACTAGAGCCAGGAACAGTTGTGGACTGGTTCCCGTGACTGTGTGTTCCACTTCCAGATAGTTTGGGCTTCTTGACCCCACAACAGCCTGCTGCCAACTTGGGCTCAAGGGGAGGAACACAACGTCTTTTTCCCATCCTGATTTGGTGTTCGCGATCTGGAATGCTGCAGAACCCTAACCCAAAAGAGAGCAGATAAGTACAGGTTGGAATGATTTAAAAAAAGAACAAAAACTAGTATTCGCATGAAATCAGTTAAAAGCTGTCAAAGACTGGTGAGATGGCTCAATGGGTAAAGGCATTTGCTGTCAATCCTCATGACCTGTGTTTGATCCCTATGACTCACGTGGTAGAAGGACCGAAATGACTACAGCAAGTTGTTATCTAACCTTGACACACACAATATCCCCCTCAGGAAGAAATTGGGGGGAGGACCTCCAAGTAACATGGTCAAAAAAAAGGGGGGGTCAGAAACCCCAAGTTCTAAACCAGAAACCTAAAAGGTTTCTGTATCTATAGTTTATAGCCACCATGGAGAGAAGCAGGCAATAAGCTGCTCTTCTATGCCAAGATACCATCAAGGCCAAAGGGCAGGAACAGAGCGCACCTGATTGAAGACATTTCAATACCTTCTTTACAAGTTAGGCATGGTGATGCAAGCCTCTAATTCGAGTACCTGGGAGGTGAGGGCAGAAACAGGCCTGTCTCTTTGAGTTTGAGGCTAGCCTGGTATATATATATATAATGAGTTACAGGATAGCCAGAGCTACACAGTGAGATCTTGTCTTAAATAACATACATACATAGACAAGCCTTTACTATAAAGAAACATTACTCAGCAAGATTAAAAGGCTTGTGCTATCACTACCCAGCTCATTTAATACCCAATAATACCCACTAGATTTAGTTCCTTTTCTAAGAACATAAGAAAACACATAGGACATACTAAAAACAGTTTAGAAAATTTGTCAACAAACGGGGAATAGAAAATGGCTCAAAGCTAACATACCTCAACCATAATCCAGGCAATTTTAAGCCTTTTCTTCTCACTGCCATGCTTGTCCTAGACTACAATAGATGCCACTATGCTCAGTTCTCACTGTATTCTACTTGGCATAAAATACATGGCAGATGAAATAGTGGGATTATCTACAGATAATCACACCATCCAAAATTCCATTTCAGGGATCCAATGCCATCTTGCTGGCCTTAATGGGCACTGCATACATGTGGTACACAGATAAACATGCAGGCAAAACTCCCATACACATAATAAGCATATTAAAGAGTGTTGTGAAGACAACTTACTGTTTGTAAGGTATTTACCACACAAGCATGAGAACCCGAATTAATATTCCCATCACTCATGATAAAAGCCAAGAACTGGGTAGTGGTGGCACACGCCTTTACTCCCAGCACTTCGGAGGCAGAGTCAGGTGGATCTCTGTGAGTCTGAGGCCAGCCTGGTCTACAAAGTGAGTTCCAGGACAGCCAGCCAGGACTGTTTCATAGAGAAACCCCATCTCAAAGAACAAAAGAGAGAGAAAGATAAAGAAAAAGGCCAAGCATTGGAGTACGTGTCACATAGGAGGTTTCTTGAAGTTCAGTGACCAGCCAGTCATGGACAATCAGTTAGCTCCATGTTCAGCAAGAGATACTTTCTAACATTAAAAATGACAATAAAGCCCCAAGAACTTCCTGGGTAATTTTTGCCTTGAAGGTTAGCCAATTGTCAATTTGTCTCCTCTTAAGCACTTCATACCTACGAACTATTTCATTAAGAAGAGTTTTTAAGTCTGGGCATGGTGGTTCATGCCTTTAATCCCAGCACCCAGGAAGCAGAAGCAGGCAGATCTGAGTTTGAGGCTAGCTAGAGCTATACAGTGAGACCCTGTCTCAACAAAACAAAAACATAAAATAAAAATGAGTAGTGTTATAGTCACTATTCTATTGTTTTGTCTTATTACTTATTGAGCTCTACATTTTTCTCTATTCCACTACCTGCCTCCCTCCTTCAATCCTCCCAAGGTCCCCGTGCTCCCAATTTACTTAGGAGATCTTGTCTTTTTCTCCTTTCTACTTCCCATGTAGATTAGATCTATGTATGTCTCTCTTAGTGTCCTCATTGTGTCTAAGTTCTCTGGGATTGTGGTATGTAGGCTGACTTTCTTTGCTTTATGTTTAAAAACCACCTATGAGTGAGTACATGTGACAATTGTCTTTCTGTGTTTGGGTTATTATTTTTTTATGCAAGGTTTTATATTGCCCAATCTAGTCTTGAACTCCTGATCCTCTTACCTCAACCTCCCATGCTAGAATTATAGGCATATGCCTCCATACAATCAGTTTGTTTCATTTAAGCTTAAAATTTACTGCTTACTCCCCTCTTCCTGAACAATTTTGAAGGAATCGAATACTTTACATATCTGCCAAAATAAAGCAAACATTACAATAAAGGTAAAAAATGTAAAATGAACCATGGTACTGATAGAAAACATCTCAGCCACCAACTATTATCAACATCAATACAAACAACACTAACAATGTTCCTGCTTCTGAAATGGTCTGTCAGATATTCTAGGCCTAAAGTCAAAGTTGGTTGCCCCAACGTTGCAGAGAGACTTTGGGTATCTGTCCTGGTAGTCAGCTGTTGTCTTCCCTTGCATCTTTCGGAAGTCACTTGCTTGCACTTCCTGCTTACTAAGGTAATACTATTTTCCTTCTCAGGTCTTAAATGGGGTTGAAGCCTAGACAGTCAGTTACTATCCTCTCATATCTTAGCTAGGGCGTATTAGGTACAAGACTTAGACTTTCCAGGATAGGACAGCTATTGAAATAATCTCTATAATTTGCCAATAAAATATGGCCTGGGCATATTAGTATGTGTTTCCTGCTTTATATTGTTCTTGTTGGTTGTAGTTTAATTTTTCTTCTGCACAATACTTGATAGCTATTCTTATTGTAAGTAATTGTTAGGATTAGAACCTTCTTATTTAGGAAAAAAGGGAGAAATGTGGTGGGATTTCGATCCATTTAGCCAATGACTTTTGGGGGAAGCAAGTCCTAGGGCGTAGTTTTATCTGCTTACAGCTTATGTACTGATGGAGAAGGTGGCACACTCTCTTGCTCTCTTGGGTAGCTGGAGCAGAGCAGGTGGAGAGGCAGTTTGCAGTTGGCCCTCTTCACCCCTAGGCAGAACAACTGGATGGAGGCAGCTGGATCAGTGGTGGCATCTAATTGGCTGTGTCTGTGAGTGCTTGTCCCTATCCTATACCCAAATCAATTATTGAGACCCTTTAACAGACTTGTGGATTCTCATAACAACTGTACCAAAACTTTCTCTTTAGGGACTGTGGGGATAATCAGTAGTTAATAGCACTGGCTGTTCTTCCATAGGATCCAAGTTTGGTTTCTAGCACTCACATCAGGTGGCCTACAACCTTCTATAAATTCAACTCCAGTATCTCTAACTCCTCTTCTAGTTTTTGAAGGTGCCTGCACACATAAGGCACACAACACGCTGTGGTGATTTGAATGAGAATGGCCCCATAAGCTCCCAGTTAGTGGAACTGTTTGGGGGGGGGGATTAGGAGGTGTGGCTGTGTTGGAGGAAGTATGTCACTGCAGAGGTGTGAGGAGAGGTAGACTTTAAGGTTTCAAAAGTCTTTCTCTTTCTGCCTCCTCCCTATGAATCAAGATGTAAAACTCTGAGCTACTGTTCCTATTCCATGCCTGATTTCCTGCACCATAATCACCTTGGATTAACCCTCTAAAACTGCAAGCAGTCAAATACTAAGAGTTGCCTTTGGTGCAAGCCTTTAATCCCATCACTCAGGAAGCAGAGGCAGGTGAATCTCTGAGTTCAAGGCCAGCATGGTCTAGAAAGCGAGTTCTAGGACAGCCAGCACAGTTACACAGAAACCCTATCAAAACCTTCCTCCCTCAAAAAAAAGACAATAGAACAGTCTTTTAAAGACACACACCTTAAAAAGCACTAACAACCCCTACACACAGACACAAAACAAAACATCTTCCCGTTTATAATGTAATTCTTTTTTTTTTTTTTTCGAGACAGGGTTTCTCCGTAGCTTTTGGTTCCTGTCCTGGAACTAGCTCTTGTAGACCAGGCTGGCCTCGAACTCACAGAGATCCGCCTGCCTCTGCCTCCCGAGCGCTGGGATTAAAGGCGTGCGCCACCACCGCCCGGCTATAATGTAATTCTAAGCATACCCCACACCACAGCAGGCACCTCAGAGTCTACAATGATCAAGAGACATCAGCACTCCTGAACCTTTTGTTAGGGATTCTAAGTACAACTTAAGAGTAATAGAGGAGGGCTGGAGAGCCTGTTCTTCTAAAGGTCCTGAGTTCAGTTCCCGGCAACCACATGGTGGCTCACAACCATCTGTAAAGAGGTCTGGTGCTCTCTTCTGGCCTGCAGACATGCACACAGACAGAATATTGTATACATAATAAATAAATAAATAAATAAATAAATAAATAAGAGTAATAGAGGAACTGCAGAGTCTATTACTAGTATCACAAAAACAAAAGAAACCCCCATAACAAATCCTTTAAATGATATGTTCTACTACCTCTTCTAAAACTGTGAATCTGTTCTCCTTCCCCACCCTCATAACTACCATGGCTGTGTCCTCGGTATGTGACTTTGGGCACAGAAACTTTCCCTTAATCAAAGCATGTAACACTGTGACCCACAGAGGCCTTGGCTGGTACCATGCAAAGTTCCTGGGCCAAGTTCAAGAATCTGCAGCAGTAATCTTTTCCTACACAGCCTCCACAATCAACATGAACACAGTAGTTAACACTGAAATCCACCAGATGGAGACACTGCCCACGCTTCAACACGAAGCTAAGGGAAGTAGTAGTAGTAGTAGGCAATTTATGGTCTCAGGAATTAATAAAAATAATCTCATAGATCTCAAGATTACTTAGCCTTGCAAATAGTTAAGGCTTACTCTCAGTGTTCAAGGACCCAGCCCTTTCCCTTGCAGGCTGCTGAGGCCTCAGCTTCCATGTCTAATGGGTATACTTTCTTCTTCAGAGAATAAAAAATACTGATTTACACCCAACTGGGGAACTGAGCTCAAAGTCTTCAGAGGAATATACACACTTATGTGTTTGAGTTATCTCCCCAAACCCTTTTAAAAACTCC